CTAAAAAAGATTATTTTTAAATAGCTAATATTAAATAAACAATTTATTTCTTTCGTGTATAGAATGTTATAAGAATAAAACAAAATACAAAATAAAACTTCAAAAAATGATCAAATTAAAAAGAATATATATAACATAAAGTAGATATGTATGAATTGGCTATGAAAGGAATAAATTGCATCTTAAAATGTACAAAGAGTCATTAGTCATTGATAATTTTAGTTTAATGTTCACACATAAAAATAAACCAAAATATGTAAATTAAGAAAGCAAATTATTTCATTTAAGTAAGGAAGGTTATTAGCACCAAACAAAATACAAAATAAATTTCAGAAGTATATGATTCATATTAATTAATATATATGCCATAAAAATAAATTATACTCTAAAATGCATAAATAAAATAAAATTATAGTAAATATATGATACATATATACAAGAATGGATACACATGTATATATATATATATATAGTATTTTACTATTTTCAATCACCTTGCCTCCACTTTTAGCCTTTTAAAATTCTATTTTTACTTCTATTTTGGATAGACATGGTTCTTGTGTTTAGAAAACTTTTTTAATGTTATAGATTTGTCCTTTTAACATCAAAAGTAATTGGATAATTACCGCAGGCTACAAAGTGATTGTTGTAAATTAAAAATGTCAATAAGGTGTCAGCTAGTCCACTGGTAAAGTTTATAGCTGATTGTAGCAGAAACCCGAGATCGAATCCCACCTGCACCCCAGTTGAAGGGGGTCTAGGGGTTTGGTGGAGGACTACCCTTGTTGTGTAACCCATTACCCTCCTCCTCCAAAATAAATAAATAAAATCTTAAATTGAATATTACCCATGTGACGTGCCCTGTCCTAGTCTAATAGAAAAAGGTCATTTACTAAAATACCTTTTAGTTTCATGGATTTACTAAAACCGATATAACCTGAGTGACTAACCCCCCAACTTGATCAGGCTGATTTGGTTGGCCAAACAACCTACAACTTAATCGAACCAACCACTGAAGAATAGTTTAATTTCCAATAATTATTAAAAATTTATAGCAAAAATACACAATAAATTAAATTTAAAAAGGTAAATAATATTAGTTTAAAATCCAATAATTATTGAAAATTTTCTATTAAATAACAAAAAAATATATATTCTTACATAATTATTGAAAATATATTTATCAGAAAAAAATAAATAATTACTAAAATACAATAAATTTTAATTTTAGTATAGATAAATATACAATAAATAAATATTAAGTTTATAAAATGATTATTAATAAACAATAATTATTTTGAAATTTATTTTATAGAATTATTAGTTGGTATAAATGAAATTAGTACAATGTTTAATTACTAGTTGAATTTAATAATCCATAAAACTATAGAACTATTAATACATAATTTTGTTATTTTAACTATTTAAAATCTAGTTTTGTTAAATATTTTGTTATTTAAAATATTTAGTTATTTAACTAAATATTTAAAATCTTAATCTATTTATTATAATTGAAAGTTATTCAATAACTATTTAAAATTTATTTAAAATATTAATTTTAATATTTTGTTATTTAAGATATTTAGTTACTGAAATATTTAAATAATATTTCATTTTTAATGTTAGATTTTTATTATTTGAATAACATTTAGATTGAATAATACAGAAAATCATAATTTATATTGTTTGTACATAATTTAGTGATGGATTTAGTAAAATATATATTTATTAATAATATGAATATTATTAAGTCGATTATAATTATTTTTTGTCTTTTGAATAAATATTTTAAAGTTATTATATAATTTTGTTAGATATTTAAATAATTCTTAAATTTTTTAATTCAAACTTTCTTTAGATAGATGTAGATAAAAGGTGTGGGAGAAGATAAATAAGAATTAGAGATAATTTATGAGAAAAACTCTCTACTAAATTAGAGATAACTTAAGAGAAAGTTGGGGGTAGTGGGGGAGGTTGTTTAGGAGAAATTTTAGGATATTAGATTATTTAGGTTATTGGATAGTGAGTGAGTGAGTGAGAGAGAGAGGAGAGAGATTTTAGGAATATTTTTTTGGAGAAAGTATATTTTCTAATTGGTAGTTTATAAATGACATGGATTAAAAAAAATAAAAAATTCAAAAAAAGGAGAAAATTTCTAGACTTCCTTATTTTACAATATATATATATATATAGATGGGGTTTGATTGTTTGTATTAGTTTGGTTTTCTAGCCCAGAATCGGAATCGGAAATCCAACCCCCCCAGCTAGGAAATGGGATTCCCATTCCAGAGTCTATCAAGAAGTAAAGAACTCGTGACAATCCATTTCAGAGCCTGTCAAGAAATAAAGAACTCATGACAATCCATTCCAGAGCCTGTCAAGAAGTAAAGAACTCGTGACAAAAACCCCAAAACCTAATATTAATAAAATAATATAAAATTAATAATAAGAGAATAATAATAAACCAATATATCAATAATAAAATAACAAAATATTAATAAAATAATAATTATATATTCAAAAATACTAATAGAGTAATAATAAAATAATAAATAGATTAATATAAAATTCAAACTTTTCAATTGATTCCGATTCGAAATCCAAATGAACCAAACAACAACAATCAGAATCTGATTCCAATTATTGGCTGAACCAAACAAACGTAAGGAATAAGTGATTCCATTCTGATTCCTGAGGATTTCGATTCCAATCCTATATGTGAACCAAATGGAACCTTATATTTGCATCCACTTGTATTAACCATGATTTGCACTTATTTGCATTAATTGACAATGCAAAATTCTCATAAAAAAATTTATGCAAAATTTGCACCACCTTCCTCTTATATCCTCTCTCTCTCATATAAAGTTATGACCACATTGTTGTTTTGCTTCTTAATTTACTCCACCCAAACAGCATGGCTTTCCTCCAAACCTTAATTCTTTTTCACATAAAGTGGAAACTACACCATTTTAGTTCTAAAATTTACTCCTCACAAATAGAAAGAAACAAGTCTACGTGTGAAAGCAAAAGCAAACCAGAATTTACACTTAGCTCATTTCCTACTCTCATGCATTTATGCCAATGCAAACAAACGGAGCTTCATTTGAGGTTAAAATTAGCCATCCAACGTGCCATTCAAAAAATACGGAGTTTAAATTGTACTAAATTGCTTTCTTCACTAAGGTTGTGTTTAATTGGTATCATTCTTCATGAAACCTTTAGGATTGATCAATAGAAATTGGTGAGAAATATGAGTTGTTATGTCACATAAGGGAGTTGCTTCAAACTAAATAATATATGTGGGGGACTGATCATTGCCGTTTAGAGTTGAAGGTCAAATTTGACATTTTATATAATAAGTAAAAACAACTTGTATTTATCAATCCAAAATGTTTTTTAATTATGTAACCTGGTATAACTCGTATTTCAAACCAATTTCTATCGATCAATCCCAAATGTTTCATGAAGAAATGACAATGTACCAAACACAACTAAGAGGAAGAATCAATTCAATTCAAGCCAATTCACTCTTAGTACTGTTTATTCTATTCCCAAATCCAACAAATCTTTAGGCTGTATTTGGTTGCAATGCAAATAAATTTGCTTTGATGCAAAACCATGGCAATGCAAATGATTTGGATGTAAATTTTAATCTATTTTTATTTCAAGTTTTAGCTTATTTTATTTAGTTGGTAAATTAAAACATGAAGCAGAATAAAGTAAAATCCAAAATAAAATTAAACAAGAATTTACAATTTTTACATTTGCACTCCAATACATTTATATTAGTATAAATAAATTTGCACTGCAACCAAACACAACCTTATATTCATCATGATAACTCCTTCCTATCTTTGCATCACACATACAACTTTGCAATCTCCAAAGAATATTTGAGCTTTAGCGTGGTAGATGAATTCCATCTCAAATCAACTTTTTCCCCTCTCAAAAGAGGAGCTGCATAACCTAACCTCTCATGATCCATATCCCATCCAACTTGTCCTGTCTCTGCAACTTGCAATCCATCAACCCCGTATCACTAACACCATCAATTCCTAACATGACAAAAACCTACCATTAGATTTCCATTCGGCAGACCTACTCAAACCTTTTTCTTGGTAAATACCAACACTCCCTTCTGATTCTCCCCTACAAATATCCGATCCCATATCTATCAAGTATCAACAACCGATCAAGATCCCCTTGCTCTTGTAAATCCAACGGTTTGGAATGAAGCCACGTAAGCAAATGGTTCGCATCAACCGCGATTAATTCTTAATTACATAAAAAATGAATATTCTATCTAATAATCAGAAATTTGACTTGGATAAATCATGGTAATTAAACCAAGGAAGAAAGAAAGGAACCGGATGACCTAGGGTTAAAGCATAGGTGCTGGTGTATCTTTTTGCCTTTCCCTGTGATACAAGCTAGCAAATGCTTATAAAAAAGACATATTTATGTTGGTAGGACACTTTTGGTGTATCATCACACTAGACTCTGTACTTTTGGTGTTTATTTTTTTTTAATTTTTATAATGGTTGGGTTTAAGGAGAAATACAAATAAAATAAATAAAAAGTTGGGAAAAAAGAGAAGGGCTCACGCAGTCACGCGAGTGAAGTTGTGGATGTGGGTGAGCCACCGAGCCGACAGCTGGCTGTCGGAGACTGGGTGAAGCCCCTTCGTCCGATCGTCCTCCCCAAGCACGTGACAATTCCGAGTCCTCAATCAGAAACAACAATCTTTCATACACGGTTGCCCAGAAATTGAATGGCTGTTTGATGGCAAGTTGGCTATCAATAGCTGATTGGTCATTGGTCAGGAAATTTGTCACGTGGACAAAAAGTGAGACACGTAAGATCTATCCTGCCGACAACTCGCTCCAATTTCTTTACTACACGGCTCGTTCAGGAAATAAATGAAATATGTAATTACCAATAAAAATCGAGTCTCCTATAAATACCCGCTCTTTCCTCTCTTTCTCTCTCTCTCTCCCTCTCCCTCTCTCTCTCTCTCCCCTGTAACTGGAAGCCATTTTCATTTTTTCATTCCAATTTCTCGTTTGGACTCTTTCTTTTCATCCTTTCTTGAGTTCTTGGTAAATTTTATTTGCATGAATTGGTTTTTAGGTCTGAGCTTGGATTCAGACGGAGAACTGGGTTTATGAGGATTTGGCAATATTGAACTGTTGTGATTCGTAGAAAGCGGAGACTCAAATACTTGGATCTGCAGGTGAGTTTTATTCTTCTCTGTACTATTTATTTGTTTGGTTATTATTCCATTTGTTGCTTCTGTGATCGATCGCTTGTTCTTTATGGGTTGTGTTCGATGAGCAAATTCAGTTGTGGAGTGAATGATTTGAATTATTTGGTCTTTGATTGGGAATTTGGCTTTCGGGAGAATAAGATTTTGGCATTTTCTGATGGTTGTGCTTGTAGGAGGGGCGGAGAACGGGTAATTGTTATTAAGTGTTATTGTTGGAAGCTGAGAAGAAATGCTTTTTGCAGTTCTTAGTATTTGGAGAGAATGTGGAAATGGAATTTGTGTGCGAGATTAATGGTTCATTGAAGTGGACTGTGGAGCGTATGGAGGCTTGTGATGAATCTTGTCGGTGTCAAGAAATCTAAGTTATCTGAAATAATATTTATTTGATTATTATTTTCCTTTTGTTTTGGGATTTTAAGAAATTTTGAAGGCTGGAAGCTATTAAATAGAGAGTTAAAAACCACGGCGTGAAGCAAAGAAAGTGGAGCAGTGGAATTCTCTATGTAAATTGCAAATGTAGGTACTGGAGAAGTTGTTTGATCATTATAGGAAGGTTCAGCAATTTCTATTTCTGTGGTGTATTTCTAGATAGCTTTTGCCGAGCTTTTATTTGGGCCCAGAGAACTTTTTGAGTTGGGATTCTAAGACTCTGGAGGTGCTTGTTTGATGCCAGACCACTCTAAAGGGGTTTATGATAATATGATAATACATTTTACATAAAAAAAGCCTGTTTCACAAACACTACAAAAGGGGGAGGACTAAGGGAAGGTGAGGAAGGAAAACTAGAGTATACCAAATCTATAAATGTAGTTGGGACTGACAGAGAGAGAAAGAGGCCTGAGAAGTAAAAGGTGTTTGAGGCTGGAGAAGATTCTCTTGGGAAACATAATTGCCTTTTAATGCTGCAATAATAAATTATTTTTAAATACAAAATGGGAAAAGAGAAGTTACTTTTGAACAACATATATTTTCCTTCTTCGTGCTTTTGTGTCTCTTTATCTCATGACTAGCTTCATCTAGGGGAGGTTTGTTCCCATCCAAAGTGGTGCTTTTGCTTCAAAAAGAGTAGTTTAGAATGCATATGAAGTGAACGATTATGTGAATTTCCTTATCTTTTGCATAGAGTTAGTGAGATCACCTCTCACCTTTTTATCCATTGTAAAACTTCTACGTCAATCTGGTACGACTTACTAAAGTATTTGGTGGCTCAGGCCTGGCATTTTAAGGTTAGGATTTGTCATATTGAATCCTTGGGGTCAAATTATTTGGACATGACCATTGAGGCGTTTGGAATAAGGTGGACAACCACTTTTGAGGAGACATTTGTCTAGGGTTGCTGATTGGCTACCCACTTTGAAGAATTTACACTGCATCAGGCCTAGTCTTTTTGGGATGGGTCCATTCAGATTTTAAAAAATTGTCAACCAATGTCCACCCAAATTGCACCTTTACATTTGTCCCTGATGTTTGGTTGAAGGCAGGAAGGAATGCCATTAATCTGTGCCTCTCCATATGAATAACTTCCATGTATTAATCCTGGCAGTCTATTATTGTTATTTCCCATTTCTTTGTACACTGTTTTTTATTTAATGAAAATTTCTTTTTTATTTGTCCTCCAAAAATTGTTATTTCCCATTCCTTTTGCTTATTGGATTTCCATACTTGATTGTTCATAAAGAAATTGTTCTTTTCTTGGTTTTATGCTGTTCCAGATTCAAGAAACCTTCTTCTTTCTCTCTTCTTATTTTGATCATATTTTCCTAATCTTAATTGGGAAGAAACCAAAGTTTTAAATTATAGCTTCTTGTTGAGAAGGCATAAGAGTATGGTTTGCGTGAGTAGTGTAGGTTACTTGTGCATTTTCATCTGCATTTCCCTGTCTGTCTATCTCTCCTTATCTTATTGATATGCTGGCATGGACGTGGATTCATGTACTAATACATGTAAAAATGATTGACTGTCCTGCAGTTTGCATGTGAAGCTGCATACTGTGTGATGATCTACAGTGGTAAGCTCAATAATGGGTTTTTTCCTCCTTTTTTAAACATGAATATGATTCTGGTCTCTCCCTCTCTCCCCCTCTCTTTCTTTCAAGGTCATCAGAATTTAAGTCACATGTTATTATTGTCCTCTTGGATTGGAAATCCATAATTTTAAGTGGCTCCTAGCTAACCTTTAAACTCTTCTAATAGACAGTAGAGTTATTGGAAAAGAAGTAAACTATACAAGAAAATGTAGTAATCAGCCCAACAAAAGGAAAAGGTAAAGATACAGAACAATGATAATGCCTATAAAACCTATAGATCAAAAACCAAACAAATGGGCAAAAGGACAACCACCTCCAGCAAATGACATTAGAGCCTACAAGATTTGACCACGAGAACATAAAAAGAGCAACATCCATCAGCAATCACCTGCAATGTTGCTACCATCTAATTCTGTTGAGACCCTCAGTTTATTTATTTTTTGGAGCTAGGATTAGTCTTGTAAGAGGAACAAAGCTGATAGAAGCAGAAATATGGCAACAATGATATAACTGAAAAAGCAATGGCAGATCTTAATATTCCAGAACTGAATCTAATAGATTAAAATAGGAACTCATTGGTAATAGCTGAGGCGTGGCCAGCACCTGTTGTCCTTAAAACTGATTTTGCTGTCTCTGGGAACTTATCTGGTGGTACAAAGGAATCCAATGATCAGCCTCTAGGGATACAACAGCTCTAAGCTCTAGTGATGCGTGCACTGACAACCCAAAGCGGCAAATCCAGTCTGATATGTATGCTCAATTTGAAGGAAAACATGAAAATAAGCAGAGGAAGGGTAGTTTATTTATTTTTGAGAAAGGTAAAGTATGAATGTATGTATTTAAATAAAAAGGAAAGCCCCTATACAACTAAAAGCTGTATATCAGGAATATACGATCTAATCACTTTACACTATGAAATCAAACCTTGACTAGTTACAAAAAGATTCTCAAAATAAAAAGAGAAAAAAAAAGTTGGTAGTTCTGCTTATAAGACACTTGTGACATGATGACCAAGAAATTATCCTGTCTATGATCCTATTAGCCATCAACTCATCAAGAAAGAGTGGTTGTTGATATCTGTGCCGTTCATTGGTGGGGTTGCAGTTGTCATGGTTTGCAATTTTGATATCAATAGACATTACGCCATGTAGAGATGGGGCAACTTCGGGGATATTTTGCTATCCTAACTGCCCTAAAAGGCAGCAGGCCAAAAGAGTACAGATAGTTTGAATGTATTAAACTTAACTCCTGGCCCTGGTATACCCCATTCCATATGATCCCTTACAGCTCCTGCTCTTGATAAGGAGTCAGCGGAAACATTTGCACTCCTAGGAATCCAGTTGAGCAATCTGTTCAAATTGTTACCCAGGCTTTGTGCCTTTCTAACCAAAAGTATGAATCTCTATGGGACCTTCCCTTGTTTCTTCATCCACAAAATTATGGTTTGACAATCACCTTGCACTTCAACAAACTTCATACCATTTCTGCTCATCAGATCTAGGCTTTAGTTTAGAGCCATTAATTCTGCCCTCACAGCATTACCTTGTCTAATTGGTCCAGAAAAGTTAGCACAGTGTTGCTGTTATGATCTCTTACTACAACCCCCACACCAGACTGTCCTGGATTACCAAGACTGTAGCCATTGAAATTGAGTTTTAATCTGCCTATAGCTGGATGATTCCCTAATTTCTGCCTTTGCTGATGCTTGTTTTGATGTTTGGCAATTATTGACCATCCTCTGAGAAGATCATTTATGTTGGCTCCTTGGAATTCCTCACTAACCAAGGCCCAATGAGCTATCTTTACCAGAATAAGGTCAATCAATCTCTCAGCCTCTTAAAAAATTCTTGTATTTTGTCATTCCACAAACCCCAAATCAGTGCTGCCCTTGTACCATGGCATAGAATCATTTGTCTTTGAGTGTTACAAGTCAAAATATTGGTATTAATCAATCCTATTTCCTCTGATGGAGCCACCAAGCTTTCTCCCACCAGAATGTCAAAATGGTTCTAAATCTTAGTAGCACAATGACAATGCCAAAGAAGATGTTTGTGTCTTCCCTGCTTCTCAAGCATAAAACATACACATGAGATGAGACACATCAGTTTGTCTGTTTCTTTTGAAGCCTTACATAACTGTTAATAGTTTGATTTGCAGCTTCCCAAATCCCAATAAAACACTTTTACCTTGGGAGGGATAGGACTGCCCCAAAAGGTTTCAACTGGAAAATGATTAGTGGTAGGGATTGGGTGAAATGTTTGAAAAATGAAACACAAGAGAAAATATCATTAGCATTAGGACTCAACATACTTTCATCATTCCCTGGTGGGATCAACTGAACCTTCTGAAGAGTTTCAAGCAAGGCAACTTCCTCACAGTTTTCTTGATAATTTCTCTAAGATATTTAGAAAATCTAATGGCATCAAGGAAAATTTCTATAAATATGGATTTATTAAAACATGGAATTGTTAGGAATAGTGTAATTGCATATTTAAGGCTCAAAGAACCATAGTAAACAATTGTTTATATCAATTATGAGAAGATTAAGATCCTTATTAGTATCACTCTTTGTCTCCCTCATAGTATTTTAGCCATCTTCTCTTCTTTATGTATGCTTATCACCTTTTATGTAATCTTTTTTATTTTTTATTTATCTTAAAAAAAATCTTGTCTCTTTTGTTACTATATATTTTGATCAGATTGAGAATCCTTTTTTGTAGTTGCTTGCCTTTTTTTTCTCATTTGTATTATAGTGATTTAGTTAGTGAATCATATCAGAATATGAATATCGAGTCAATAATCCAATCACTGAATCCCCATTTGATCTTTTAGGAAGAGATTTTCATAAAAAAATGTTGATTTTGATGAAATATTGGAAAGTTTCAATGATCCTATGAAATATTAAATCTTAAATGCATAGTTTATCAATGTAATTGGAAATATCATCAATATATGAGAGGTATTAGGAAAAAAATAGATTTTTAGAATATTTTGTGTTGTCCATAGAAAAATGGGGGGGGGGGATCTTGGAGATATTTCACCAAATATCACCAATATTGTGAACCATGGTAGTTTTTATAGCTGCTCTGTTGGAGAGTTGGATGAGTAGTCACTTTTGTAATGTCTCCCTTTTTGTCAGCCATTGCTACTTCTATAACATTGTAACACTAAAGAGAAGCAACAATCAAATTGAATTTGGTAAGTTGAGTTGGTTAGGAAAAGTGATCGAATATAACTCTTTCATGGAAAGCTTTTGTGAAAATTGGATCGAACAATTCATCATCATCATCATCATCGTCATCGTCGTCGTCGTTGTCGTCATCATTTAATCCTTGTTCCAACTATATGGGGTTAGCTACATGACTCTTACTTTTGCGATTCTGTTTAGTTTAGTGCCATTTCCATTGATAAATTATGAGCCCTTAAATCATTTCGTACCACCTTAAGCCTAGCTCTTCTAGTACCTACAACTTGTAATAGATCACTTCTTACGGGTACTGTAGATGGTCTTCTCTACATGCCACCCAACCATCTTAATCTACTTTCCCTCATTTCATCTACTGGAGCTTCTCCTAGGTTCCTTTGAAAGTTCGTTTCTGATCCTGTCCTTTGTAGTTTTTCCACTCTTCCATCTCATCATTTTCATTTCTGCCATAGCTATACTTGTTTTCTGGACATCTTGTTTCTTGACCGCCCAAGACTTTGCTCCGCACAACATTGCTGACATTAAAATTGTTTTATAAAATTTTCGTTTTAGCCACTAAAACGGGCTTAGAAGTTAAAACACCCAAGGAAACACAGGCATATGTGAGGATAGGGAAGGGGAAGGGGGGGGGAAGATGAATGAAGTGGAGAAGTTAATTAGTAATGTGGAAGGGGATAAGGAATTCAGTGCAAGGGGAGGTAGAAGGAAAGGGGTTTATAGGAAGAAAGGAGGATAGGGTAGTATTTTCAAATGCTGAAATGAAAATTATCAGTTGGAATGTAAGGGGGTTAGGGAATGCAACAAAGAGGAGAACAATTAAGGAACTTCTAAGAAAAGAAAAGCCAGATAATCTTCTAATCCAAGAGTCTAAAATCCTTGAGCTGGATAGGAGATGGGTTAGAGGCTTTTGGGGTGAAAGAGAATTAAGGTGGAGTTTCCTTCCTTCTTGGGGTGCTTCCGGGGGGTATAATAACTGTTTGGAAGGAGGAGGTAATTCAATGCTCAGAGGAACTAATAGGGAATTTCATTGTGTCGGTTAAACTGAAAATTGCCCAGGATGGGTTTGAATGGGTTTTAACAAATGTTTATGGTCCCAATTCTTATAGAGAAAGAAACCTGATGTGGGAAGAGTTGGTTGATATTGGGGGTTCATGGGAAGGGCCATGATTTGTTGGTGGAGATTTTAGTGGTAAGATATGCGGAAAAAATGAACAATACTAGGCAGAGGGTAATAATCTGCATGAGGAAATTCAATAATTTTATTGATACCTTTGACTTGAGAGACATACCACTGGGGCAATCTAGATTTACTTGTCCAATATTCAAGCTAATCCGATTTACTCTAAATTGTACAGATTTTAGTCTCAGTTGATTGGGAAGAACATTGGGGTGGTTTATTAGGGAAAACTTTGCTGAGAATTACTTTTGACCATTGGTCGATATGTGTTTTCAACGAGTGGTTGGTGCCTTACCTCTTTTAGGTTTAAGAACATGTGGTTTACACTTCTTGATTTCAAACAAAGAGTGGAGTGGTGGAGTGAACAACAACAGGGGATGCAATGGGAGGGGCAGAAATTTATGAAAAAGTTACAAAAGCTGATGGCAAAAATTAAAGAATGGAATAAGCTGGTTTTTGGTAGATTGGAGGAGAAGAAGGCCAATCTAATTTTGCAAATTGAGGACATAGATAGAAGGGAATCAAAAAGGTTATTGAGAGAGGAAGACAGAAGTTTAAGCCTAAAGTTGAAGAAGGAACTCCAAGAAACTCTGTTAAGGG